TTTCTTCTGTGAGAACAATTTTCCACATTCACTGAATGTACTGTTAACAGTAGACATTTGTGAAACAATGAGTGGCAAATCTTGTAACAATTTTTTTTCCTTAATTGCTGCATAAAACAAAATTGCAGTAAATTTTCTTTTGTTTTTTGCTATGAATTCAAGTCCTGTTTGTTTGTCTCTTTTTGAGTCAGCAACTCACTGTATTGTTCAGGCTGACTCTGAGCTTACTATGTAGCACAGACTAGTCTTGAATTTGCAGTCCTCCTGCTTCAGCTGCCCAGGGCTGGAATTCTATGAATGCACCACCTCACCAGCTCAACTTCTTTATCTCACATTCTTTTGTTTTTTGCTATGAATTCAAGTCCTGTTTGTTTGTCTCTTTTTGAGTCAGCAACTCACTGTATTGTTCAGGCTGACTCTGAGCTTACTATGTAGCACAGACTAGTCTTGAATTTGCAGTCCTCCTGCTTCAGCTGCCCAGGGCTGGAATTCTATGAATGCACCACCTCACCAGCTCAACTTCTTTATCTCACATTTTATAGATGTACAGAACTACAGTATCTGTTTTAATGGACAAAGAAAGATACTAGACCAAGCACAACTGGTGGGAGAAGATACATGATACTGCATGTGGGATCAAGATTTTGTTTATAAACATAATTGTTCATCTAAAACATAACAGTAAACCAAAACATTTTCAGTAAATAAATACTACCTACCACAATAAATGTTCATATCACATCTACTATGGATTTTTCTCAGTTCAAAAAAGTTCACACTTCTAAAAGAAAGGTATATTTTAGAAGTGAAGAATTGTGCTATTATGTTTCTGTTGTCTGACTTTGTAACATTCACATTCTTGTTTGAACCCTTACTTGCCTAAACTGTTTGGATCTAGTTTTAGATTTTGACTGTTTTAGTGTGTAGAGCAAGTTCCTGTGTACCATCAGTTTCTTATTCCTAAATTCTTTATTTGATTCATGTGTTGGTAGGCTAGATTTAGCATCAAATGCTTTATTCCCCAGTGCATAGGAATGACACATTCCTACAGTTTTTGAATGTTTGAAAATGTCTTGTGGTGCATTTGTATAAAAACAACAACCCCAGTAAATGTAAATTTCTTGCAAAGCACTTGTTTCTCCAGTACTCTGTGGATGTTGCTTCCCTGTTTTCTATCCTTGAATGTCAAGTACTTTTCAGCTCCTTGTAGGGAACTTTTCTCTAGGTACTCACACAGTTCTTTTCCTTGAAGTTCATTAATTTCATTATTGATTGTTTTATATCTTTTTAAGGAACATACTAAGATCTTTCTTAATTTCAGGGAAGTTTTCTATTGTATCTTTGAATATTTTTTTCTGTTCCATTTGTTCCATTTTTTCTTCAGGAACATCAATCATGGGTATGTGGAATCTCCTCTGTCAGTCTTACATGTCTGCTAGCTTTAATCATTTTTATCTTTGTGCTTTTCATTTTATTTGAATTTTTCTCTAGCCTGTCCTCGTGTCACTGTTTGCAGTACTTCCCTACATTTTGCTGCTTCTAATGTGATTTTCTTCATTAGTGGTTTTACTGTTTTCTTCATTTCTTCTCTAGGACCTGCTAGCTCATCTGTTGTGTCCGTTTTTTCAACCTCTTGTGTGTCTTCATTTAATTTAAAGTGTGGAGAAGAATATGTTGAAAGTTAACTCTCCTGCCTCTTGCTAGTTAGGAGTTTTTCCTTCTTTTCTGCTGCTAGCAGTAGGGCAAAGGCTAGGTGACATGACCATCCTCTTACAAGGATTTGGTTTCTCTGGGCTGCTGTTTGCTAAATGTTATCTGAAGCAACAAAAAATTTTATTCCTCATTTTTGTGTGTGTATCTAAACACCTTCTGGCTATGCCTACTCAGTCATCTTCCCTGGCCAGTGTGCCTTTAACCTCATTACAGAGGGAAGCACTTCGTTCAACTGTTTTGGGACTTCTCTGATTTAGTGTTTATATTGCTTAGTTGGTTATGCTTAGAGACTTCCTTGCATTTCATTCAGGCAGTTTCAGGGATTATGTTTCAAAAGTTTTAAAAGAGAGCCCATACAGGACAGATAAACATGCATAGCAGTGGCCCACTGTGGAAATTTTTTAAATTAGTTGATAATAATAAAAAAAATCACAAGATTCTGCCTAAGAGTCAAGATTTCCAGCCCAGAGCCTTTAGTATCCACTCTCAGGAGGCTGATACAAATTTCTGATGTTTCTTTAGAAACCCTAACCCACATTTCCAACTTCTCACTTGTATCAGTTGTTTTTTTTTGTTACAGCGCCCACCACTACCCAGATGGCTTAAGGAGTAGGATAATGTACCTAGAAATTCCTGTGTAAAACCAGTGATTTTATTAGGGCAATAAGAAGGAATTGGGGGTTGTGGCTGGGCAGAGACTGTTAAATCCTGTGTACTCATTGACCACTGTGAGCATTTGAGATTGGAATTATGCTTATCTAGTTGTATTTTATTGTTTTAAAATGAGACAAAATGTTAGAGGTTGCTTATCATATTTAAAGAGTTCACCTAATTTTTACTTTTGTTTTTAATGCATTGACAATAAAGTTAAATCTGTTCTGTAGCAGCAGTGTTGTGTACCTCAGCATCACCAGGAAATGTATATTGAAATCTGTTGTGGAGGCTGGGATTACAGCTCAGTGGTAGAGCGATTCCCTAGCCTTTGTGAGGCTTTGGGCTCCATCTCTAGCACCACCACAAACAAAACAAAACAAAATTATTTTTTGTAGATCCTAGAATTCCTGTGATATAAAGAAATACATTATATATGGCTTTTGCCATATAATGAAAATGAGTTAATATTCAGGGTTGTTACCACAGACTGTTCAGTGACTGACACAGGTAGCACACTGAAAAAGATTTGAACATTACTTGAAGTGGACTTAAGCTGGACTGAGAAAAAGTGGGATCTAGTTAGATTGAAGAGCAATGTGTAGCATAGAAATAAGCATGTGCAGGTGAGGAATGATGAACGTGGAGTTAGTTAATAGGGAAAGAACAGGTAACTGAGTGGAAGCTGAAATGTAGAACTTCAGTGGAGGGGCTAAGAACCAGGCAGTGAAACTGTAAAAGGTTTTGAGCACAGATATAAAAAGGGATATTTAAGACTTGTTTTTAAATATACATATACATATATATATATATATAAATGCTGAAAAATAATCATGACTTTTTTTCTTATAGAGAATGGTTTTTCTTGCTTTCACATGAAGTTTTGAACCCAATGTATTGCTTATTTGAGTATGCGGGCAAAAACAACTATTGCCTACAGATTAATCCAGCATCAACCATTAATCCAGACCATCTTTCATACTTCTGTTTCATTGGTCGCTTTATTGCAATGGTGAGTTCTAAATTGTTAGTTATTTAATTTATTTTTTGCTACTAGGGATTGAACTCAGGACCTTGCACTTGTGAGGCAGGTGGCAGAACCACTAAGCTAAATCACCAGCCTAGTTATTTTATTTAAACTTTGTATATTTCAAAGTATTCTGTGAAGATTTGCAAAAAAAAAGAGATGAGATAAACATTTTATTTGTTTTTTGGGTTTTTTTGTTGTTCTTTTATTGAGTTTATTGGTACATTTTAGGTATACAATACAGTTAAATTCATCATTGTCATCTTGTACCTTTACATGATGTATCTTGGTTCTTATTTTTTCCCCATTTTTTCCTTTTCTCATTTTTTTCTCTTCCCCTTTTACCTTTTCCCTACCTTTCCCATTTGCCCATCACCTTTAGACCTTTTCCTACGACAAAATATCAATTACACATTTTGATCCTTATTTACACATTTTTCTTTATAAAATAAAAATCAGTTACCTAGTAAGTATGTTTAATTGATGATTTAGGAATTTTCAGAACTTTGCAGAAGGCCTTGTACAGTTATTTTTCTTAGCGGTCTATCTGTATTTATTTGTACTGTCTTTTATCAGTTCATGCAGCAACTATTAATTGAGCACCTGCTATGATGTGAAATTCTAAGCTCTGGAGATGAAAAAAGATGTAGTCACTACTCTTAGGAATGTAAATTCTACAGGAAGGAGAAAAGTAGTAAGTGTATTTTCAGAGAAAAGATGTGCTGTTCTTTCATATAGTGTAGTTAAAGAAGGCTTCTAATGCGTGATACATGAATGGAGATTTGAAGAAAGCCAGAGATTGGATCATGCAGATATCTTTGAGAACATTTTAGTTACAGAGAATAGCAAGACAAGGGTTCCTAGGGGAAAGTGCATTCTTGGTTGAGAAAGAGACACTGTGACTAGAGTAGGGTATATGAGACAGAATGTAGTAGAAGATGAGGTTGAAAAATACTTTGTGGTACTCTTCAGCAATTCACATACAGGTTTTGAGCAGGGTATTGAGTGACTTGAACTGACTAACATGATCTAACTTAAATTTTATTAAACATCTTTGTTTGCTGTATAGAACAGATATTGTAACTAGGGGCAGAAGAAGGGTAGAAGTAGGAAAATCATTTGTTAGCAATCAAGATGAAAGATGATACAGCTTGGATTTGTTAAGTGCAGCAAAGGTTAGAACTAAATCGATCATCTGCTGATTAGTTGCAAACTGAGAGAAAGTAAGTCTGGCACCAATATTTATAGTCTACGTCTGGTTGCAGTTGCCATTTATTGAAATGATCAGGATCATAGTAGTAAGCAAATTTGGGAGATGAGGGAAATCGAAGAGTTTGGATTTGGGTTGCTATGCTTGGGATGCCTGTAAAGTTCCAAGTGGAGTAGAATAAATAGCAAACTAGATATTTAAGTTTGGCATTAAGAGGATGTCTAGATTAGCAAAAGGCTTTCAAGAGTTCTGGACACATAGAGAACATTAAAAGGCTGTGTGATTGTTTAAAAGAGTTAAGTGTTCTCAGAGAAGTTCAAGGACATTTATAAATTGGGGAGATGAGAAGGAAACAGCAAAAGAGCTGAAGTAGGAAAATCAGATAAAAGTCTGGTTTCCAGAAGAAAAGGGAAGAAGGGAGTATGTTTAAAAAGGAAGCCATGACCAACCCTGTCATATGCCAGGAATAGGATGAGCATGGTACTTACTTGATTCCGAAGAGGAGGCCTGGAAATTACTTCATTTTACAAGGTGAAAGATACTCATGAATGGTAGGATGGAAAGATTGACACTAAGGAAATCAAGAAAGGATGGAAGGAGAAGTGGAGACAGCAAATATAAATAAATCTTTCAGGGAAATTTATCATAAAGGATCTAGACAATGAGGAAGTAGACATGGATATGGAGTCAGGCATGGGAAGAGAATGTAGTGCTTGTTGACAAACACCTGTAAACCAGTTACTCAGAAGGGTAAGGAAAGAGATTACAGGTTCGAGGCCAACTTAGTGAGACCTGGTCTCAAAATAAAATCAAAGGGCTAGTGATGTAATGTACCTCAGTGGTAGAGCACTTGCCTAGAGTACATGAAGCCCTAGATTTAATTACTACCACCACCAAAAGAAAGTGAGAGGAATTGTATTGCTGATAGTGATGATCAAGTAAGAGGGTAAAGAGAAAAAAAAACATTTTCGGTGGTATTAGGGATTGAATCTAGTTAAGGTCTTTGAGCTACATCCTAGCACTTTCATTGTTTATTCATTCATTTATTTATATTTTTATTTTGAGACAGAGTCTTCCTAAGTTGCCCAGACTGCTCGAACCTGCGAGCCTCCTGCTTTAACCTCCCATTGTGCTGAGATTACAGGCATGCCCCATGCCAAGCTTGAGTGTAAAGAATTTGGTGAGGAATAAAAAAAGAATTTGATGGAAGTTGGTAATACCAGGAATATGGGAACAGTGACTTTGAGGAGGGTGAGGAAGAGATTTATTAGAGTGCATAGAGGTAATAGAAAGTTTATTCATAATAAGCGTGTGTAGTCTCTGGTGCTAGTAGTGAGCAAATTTAGTGGAAGACACAAAAGTTCTCTTCTGATTGCTGTTTCTTGTATGAAACAGGAAGTGAGATCAGCAGCGCAGAGTGAGGAGTGGGGAAAAGGAAGTATTTGAGGAAAGAGGGGTGGAGACTACGAGAGATTACTAGGCAACACTTTAGGGTGTTGGTCATGAAACAGCTGGTGTATGCGTATCTAGCTTGTTCTACTGCCTAGGTGCAGGCATGGAATAAACTGAGAACTGAGTTTAGCTAGGCTTGAGATTTTTGCCAGAACTGCAGAGGGGAGGCAGAGTTTGAAGATATCAGAGAATAATTTTGATGATTGATGAGGGAATCTAAACTGAGTGAAGGGGAGAATAACTTTGTGAGGGGACTGAGAGAAGATAGAGATTTCTGGGAGCCTTGGAGGTTCTTCCTTTGTTGGCTGTAGTAAATAGGATAAATGACACCAGTCATCCTGAAAATCTTGTAGCCATTATGAAAATGGAGAAATGGGAGAGAGCTCCTTCCAGGTGCATAAGGCCCTTCATTTCTGTATCCAAGTAGGTTTATTTATTAGAAAGAGGGGTAGGGGTGGTAATAAAGCCCTTTATCTACCTATTTGTAGTTTTTGATAGTACATTATAGAGTGAAATGTTTCATCTGTGAAGTAATTTTTGAACTGTTTTCATACTTAGCATTTTATATTTTAATGATTATTGCCATTTACTTACTAATTTTCTTTGTCTATAAAGGCTGAGGATTTCCTTGTTGTCACTGTACTCTAAATAATAAATTATTATTTTGTAAACTTTAAATAAAATTTTTTTTGTTTTTTTTCCTGGCAGGCACTATTTCATGGAAAATTTATTGATACTGGCTTCTCTTTACCATTCTACAAGCGCATGCTAAGTAAAAAACTTACTATTAAGGATTTGGAATCCATTGATACTGAATTTTATAACTCCCTTATATGGATAAGGTTTGAAGATTTATTTTTTCAATAAGGCATTTTCTGGAAACTCATATCTTTTATTATGTGTGTATATTAATTTATTATTTATTTATTCATTTTTAACCCAGAGATAACAACATTGAAGAATGTGGCTTAGAGATGTATTTCTCTGTTGACATGGAAATTTTGGGTAAGGTTACATCACATGACCTGAAACTGGGAGGTTCTAACATCCTGGTGACTGAGGAGAATAAAGACGAATACATTGGGTAAGGTTATACACTTATTACACAGTATAGCTAAGTACTCTGTATCCTTAACTTGCCCCGTTCAGTAGACCGATATTCTTGAAATAACAAAATATACAGCAGCCTTTACTTTTCCATTGCCATTGAAGCATTCTGCCTTTGCCCAGACCACAGACACATGAAGAGTGATGATGAAAAAGGTCTCTGCTAAAACTATGTAGCCCCTTCATTTTTGGACAAGAATCTGAGGTTCTTTTAGGTAGAACCAAAACCAAGTTAGAAACCCAAGCTTTTACTGTGAATGTAAGGCTTATTTGTATTTGCTGTTACTTTCCCATTTTTAATTTATGCTTTAATAGTGCTCATCACACCTATTTTGAAATCCTCTACTGTATTGAATTCTATTATCCTATGCCATCTTGATTGTCTTCGTTTCTCTTTTAGTTCACTAAATCTCCACTTTTTCAATGTAGGTGTTTCCCACGGCTCTTGGTTCAGTCTGCTTCTCTAAATACTCTGCTACCACAGTTTCAGCTTTCTATTAAAGTAACATCTAAAAGTGGCAGAGTACCCCCTTAAGCATGAATCCATACTTCTTTCAGTAGCAAGGTATCCCTTGTCCTTTTGTAACGGATTGTCAAAAAAATAAAGTTATTAGGTCAAACGACTGTGTTGCCTTTCCACAAAGTTATAGCTATCCTATTTTTCTTTTACATCTTTAGTGTCTCTGTTTACTTTCTAATCTAGCTTCTTAGCTTGGCGTTGCAGGCCTCTTACACCCGAAGTTTTGCTAAATAGTTATCTCTGGATGACAGAAATTACAACTGAATTTCTCCTTTCTACTTTCTGAGACATTTTAGTTTTGCTTTGTTATGGAATGAGCATTTTTATTGCTCTTACTGGAAAAGATGATAGCTGTTTGTATTATGCCCAGCATTTCAGAATCAAGAGGCCGGAGGGCCCTGCAAATGGGCGGGAAGGGGGATAGTCCTGGCCACACCCTACCCCACCCTGTCTTTGGAAAGGCCAGTCCATAAGTAATAGGTGACCAAAGGACCTGACTGTGACCTGCCTGGCCACCAACCAGGGTTGTCACAGCAACTGTATAAAACTGGGGTGAGGGGTTGCTGAGTAGATTGTCAACCCCACCCAGGTGGCCTCTGGACATTCAAGTATTTTTCAAGAACAGAGAAGCAAATCACATGTTTTTCTTTTTTAAAAACCCTAAATGCCCCCAGACACCTGAGCAGGCCTTGGGTGGGGCCAGGTGGGCAGATGCAGGGACTCATGCATATAGAATGTGAGTGAGTATTGCATAGTTCACTGCTGAGAAAGGGGGTAGGCAAGTCTCCCCTGCCCCAGGTTGTGAGTTACCCAGGGGACCCTCTGTGGCCGTTCTTGGGTGCCACACTGGAGGCTGAGACAGCTGCAGCCAGTTTACTGAAGAAGGTCCTCCTTTTCTGTATTCCTTAAGTCTTTAGCTTTCTACAAAGTCCAACAGTAATTATTAAATAGGACAACCTGAGCATTTTTTAAATGCTTAAATGGTTTCAGATAACAAAATCAGTTTAAATAAAATTTCAGCAGGTAAGGTTTATAGTATTTGCTACCTTGATTTTGCACTTTGTGTTAAAGTGACTACTGCATTTTAAAATCTTTATCAGTATAGCACCTACTCTTAAGAGTTGGGAATCTAATCTTGGAATCTAATCTTTGGAAGATTTTGTTGCAGTCTCAAATAATAACAGTTTATATTTTAATTTTGTCCTTGAAAATTATGTGATAATACTTGGTTTTTTAGTTGTGAATCACTGTTTTTGGTCACAAACTAGGATGTCAGCAAACATTTGAGTAAATGAATGGTAGAGCTTTGTGTGTAGTACTGTTGGAATCCAAAGTGGGAGAAGAGCTATTCATTTTCTGGGATGAGTCTGAAAAGCTCTTCATAGGACATGGCATGTGAGTTAGGTCTTAAAAGATTCATTAGTGCTCTCCTGATAGAGCGTTTCTGGGGAGGTGGAAAACAGCAAGAAGGAAGGAATTGCAGGGACAGAGGGATTAATTTATCTTGGGCAGTTGCTGTAGGAATGTTATATGGGGTGAAAAATAGCTAATTGGGAGCATAAAATAGCCAAATTAATTTAATTTCTCCTTAATTTAAGGAACTGTTTATTCTAAGAGACATGGGTTTTTGCTCAAAATTTTAGCTATCATAAGCCCAACATGAAATGATCAGAATGGTTTTCAAAAGGATAATTCTGATACCTGTGTGGAGGGTGAAATGGGGGTGAGAGTTGGGAAATGGAGTGATCGGAGACCAACAGACTAATGAGAGTGTTGTTTCAGAAGTGTAGTAGTGAAGTGTATTATAGACTTAAAATAGGATTGATGCAATCACAATAAAAATGAAGATTACAGGAATAAAATTGTACAAATTTTAGTGATTGCTTGTTGATATGCATTGGGAGAAAGAATAGTAAATTGAAAGATTTGATGATTAAAGTTTACTTTTTCACCTGCTTTTGTTGATGGCTTCTCTCATCAGGTGGTATTTGTTTGTTCTTTAGGTGATGTGCTTGTCACACGTATCCTCTTAGCTCCTGATACCAGTCTTACATTGCTGACAGATTTTCTTATTTGTTTTTATTTTGAGATGAGGTCTCGGTGTAATACCATGCAGGCTGGCCTCAAATTCAACGTCCTCCTCCCTCAACCTCTCTATCCTCTTTGTTCTTTATCTGAATTGCTTTCTATATTTCTTCAGAATGTTTTATTTCCATCTTAATTGATTTTTTTCTATTTTGGCTAGGAAATAATCATGCTGTTCAGCAAATCAGTATGTGCTGATTTGACCAGCTTCCGGTCTTCTCAAATGATAAGCCTGTCCAAAGTCTAGATCCTACGCAGATCATCATTGCATGTTACTGAGAGTCCCTTGAGGCTGACTCCTTGAATCTTCTTGCAAACATGTGGTCAAAAAAGAGACTTAAATGATGAGCCGTGCCTTTCCTGAGGCAGCACACACTATTTGGAGTGGTCTGCATATACCAAGAAATGATTTGTGCTGGAATTTGGCTTCTTACTAATGAATAAATCTTACAGTTTTCAAAATCCTTTTTAATAGCTACTGATGTGATAGGACTGATTTCCTTAGAGAGAGGCATGTTAACTCTAAAATTACCTATGTACATACATATATACATATCTGTATGTATACATGTATATTTTATATGTATACATATATATGTGTGTGTGTTTAGAAAAAATAAATTTAGAAGTTTTTAGTCCTTTAACTTCACTTACAAATGACCTATTTTAAAATAGCATTTTTTTTTCAGTTTAATGACAGAATGGCGTTTTTCTCGAGGAGTACAAGAACAGACCAAAGCTTTCCTTGATGGTTTTAATGAAGTTGTTCCACTTCAGTGGCTGCAGTACTTTGATGAAAAAGAATTGGAGGTTAGGCTCTTTCATTTTGCTACTGTAGGGAATATTAATGGGAGGTAAACTGTTTTGTGCTTTTATACAACAGCATCAACACATTTTAAAATCATGTAGCATGGACAAAACAAAAATAGAACATAAAAACAAAACAATGTAGCACAAAACTGCATCTTCTTAATTTGCTTAATGTTTAGGTGACATTGTAGCATTGAGTGAGTGATAATTTGGGGAAATTTCTAAAATCTCACTTTAGTAATGAAGTTGTTCAAAAACTAGATTTTAAATGAGTTCTTAGTAACTGTATTTGGGCTTAGAAGCATATCAAGAATTCTTTTTGTTATGTATGATAAAATCCCTATAAAATTTACCATCTTAACTATTTTCAAGTATATAGTTCAGTAATATTAAGTAAAATTACATTATCTTGCATCCACTGTCTAGAACTTTTTCATCTTGTAAAATGGAATCTCTATACCCATTCAACAATTCCTGATATCCTCTCAGCCTCTGGTAGAACCACTGTTTTGCTTTGTACAAATTTGATTATACTTGAAATTTCCTATAAATGAAATTATGCAGTATTTTTTTTTGTACCAGGAATTGAACTCAGGGACTTGCACTTGCCAGGCAGGCGCAGCACCACTGAGCTATGTCCCTGGCCCATGTAATATTTTTTTGTTGCTGCTTGTTTAGTGCATACTGTGGAATGTTTCAGAATTTCGTTTCTTTCAAAGTGTGAATTATATTGTCATAATTATATATAATAAATATATAAAGGAGGTAATGTAACCAAGTATAAAACCTCTATACTAAAAATTTGCTCAGAAATATTAAAGCCAATCTAAATAAATGGAGATATACCATGTTATGTATTGAAAGACTCTGTTAAAATCAGTTCTCTCCAAACTGATCAATATGTTCAATAGTCAACATCCCAACAATTTTTTTGTAGAAATTAATAATTCCAAAATTAGGAAATATAGAGACCCTAGAAAAGGCAAAACAATTTGGAAAAGAACAAATTTGGCTGCCTTATATAACCTGATTTCAAGAGTTAGCTGTAAAGCTGTAGTAATTAAAATAGTGTGGTATTTGCTAAGGGAAAAACAGATCAGTTGAGCACCAGAGAATGCAATAATAGACCCACTTATACATAGTCAATTGGTTTTCAACAAAAGTGCTAAAATATTTCAGTAAGGAAAGGAAAAATATTTTCAACAAGTGCTGTGGATCAACTGAATATCAATATGGAAGAAAATTAACTTTGACTTATACTCAACCTATAAACAAAGATTAATTTTCAGTTGAATCATAAGCCTAAATGTGAAAGCTAAAAAGAAAACAGAATATCTTGATGTATGCAGAAGTTTTTTAGGGAGAACAAAGAAAGCAATATCCAAAAAATAATAATACAGATAAATTTGACATCACGGAAACTAAAAACTTCTGTTCTTCAAGAGATACCATTAAGAAAACAAGAAGACAACCTGCATGCCAGGAGATACTATTGAGACAGTGATACTGTATATACAGACTATGTTTTTTAAAGTTCATAGCTTATCAAGAGACAAAGAAAAATTTGTAATGGACAAAGATGCACTTCACAAAAGAAGATACAAAGGCAGGCGTAGTGATTCATGCTTGTAGTCCCAACTACACCAGAGGTTGAGACAGGAAGATGCTCGAGCCTAGGAGTTCCAGGTGTTGCCTCCTAGTGAGGCTCTGTCTGCAGACAGAGAACCCATGTATTCGATGTAAATCAGTATAGCAACATAACAGTGGCTTTTGTTTCTAAAATCACTTCAGTATTCCTAGGTTTTCAGCAATATAAATGTAATGAAAAAGATACTAATGTAATGTTGAATTAATTTAAAAAAGAAAAAAGGGAATACAAAGAGGGATGGTCCTTAGTCATTGAGGAAATAAAAGCTAAAACTAAATGAAATAACATTTTGGGATAGTGTTGGCAGTTTCTTAGAATATTAAATGTGCAACTACTTTATATCCTAGAAGTTGCACCTGTAGATATTTACTCAGTTGTAATGAAATATGCACACAAATACTTGTACATTAGTGTTCATTGCAATATTATTTATCAAAGGCAAAAACTGAAAGCTTCGTAAGTGTTCATCAACAAGTGAAAAAACAAATTGTTATATATTCATAGCAGTGATGTGAAACCATGATTGATATCCACAACAACATAGATGAATTTCAGAAGCATAGGTGAGCGGGGAGGGAGACCAGAAAAAAATGTATGTATGCTACAGACAGAATTATGCATATGTGCTCATACTGCCAGTCTCAGAAAGACAGATATAAATGGAGAAACCCTTGATCACCTAATGGTATTAATGGTTTTGCCTTCGAAAAGTGACATAAAAGCATTACATACTTTATTATACTTAAAATAATTTTTACCCCATATGTGACAAGATGGGGTGTTTCACAAATAGAATATTTTATTCCCAAATAAGCTGGATAAATAACAGGAAGTTAGTATATATTTCATTATATATAAATAGCACAGATTTACCCAAAAAAAACAGCAAAAATTTACATTAAGTTTATGTACCCAGTTCAGGATCTGTATATATAGTAAAGTAGATGCTCTTTTTAGTAGCTTTTCTTGAAAAATACTTTGTGTTCAGTGAATATGGTAAAAAATACCAAAGAATCCCTTAATGCTGTGCTCCCACAAATGTTGGATTTACTTACTATGGTCATTATTTGCCACGCACATAGCTCACATAATTAATGCCATGTGGCTGTGCCCCACAACATTTCAGTCATATAGTTGTTCTATTAAACAAATCTTCACTATGGCCTGATAACTATGCTTGTTTCCAGGTTATGCTGTGTGGCATGCAGGAGGTTGACTTAGCAGATTGGCAAAGAAATACCGTTTATCGACATTATACAAGAAACAGCAAACAAATAATTTGGTTTTGGCAGGTACTTTATCTTTTTCAAACATAATATGCAAAGAAAATGTTTTCTAAATATGCTTTTAAAAGTATTTTTTTTCTTAAATGAAGATGCTTTTGGACTATTTTTAATCTGCCAATTCTAAATATGAAGTGAGTAGTTTGAACTCTTATTTAAGCATTAATTTAATGGTAGTAGTTGTGGGGACATTTTTTTTCTCTAGCAGTATCAAAAGTATTTCAGTAGGTCATGGTGGGACACACCTATAATCCCAGCATTCCAGGAGGGCTGAGGCAGAAGGATTACAAAATTGAGCCCAGCCTGGGCAACTTACTGAGACCCTTTCTCAAAATAAAAATTTAAAATAATAAAAAGAGGGTAGTGATACATAGTTCAATATGAAGGCTCTAGTCCCCAGTAGCAATTAAAAAGAAAAAAATGAGAACCAAGACCTATCACGTAGAGGTACAAGATCCCAACAATGAATGTAACTGTACTGTATCCCTAAAATGTACCAATAAACTCAATTTAAAAAAAAGAAAAAAAAAAAGGAAAAAACCTTTAGTCCTGGAATATTCTTCAGTTCTTCACATATTCTATTTGAGACTCATTTGACCAACTTATGACTAGATTTTTGGTTTATTTTTAACTGTTTTTCTTTCACCGGAAAAACTAGGGTTTTATATTTTACTACAGTGATACCTTGGTTGTACAGCTCCAGGCTCAAACTTTCACTACTTGAACAGCAAAGTTTGCAAAAGTCTGCTTGGTTTTCATACCTTTGCGAGATAGTCAAGCTTAAAATCCAACTTGAAAAAACTACGGGCCGAGAGTGAGTCAAGTGTTAGGTCTCGTCGGGGACACAGAAGGTTGACGCTGCGCTCTAAGTACCACTCTTGCCCAGACTGCACATAGTGCTTGTGTTTGTGCGTTGAAACATTGTCGTTGTGCTTGTGTGTGCGCTTTGTGTAAAATACCGTAACCATGGCTCCAAAGAAGTACGAGATACCACCAGTAAAGCTAAGAAAAAAACAGATCCACAACAGGGTTAGAGAAAAAAAATATTGTGGAATTTGTTAAAGCCCTGGAAAAATGAATTTGTAACTGTAATATGGGGCCTCAGAAGCAATTACTTGGTTTTCCCTTTTTTTTGAGAGTGGGAAAAATTTACTGAGGGAAAGAAAGCTTCTAAGACAGAAGGGGAACCGGAAAGTGGGTTGCCCCTTCCCTTATTTCTTATTGGAAAAAATATCTTCAATTCTCAAACTTGGCAGTGTTTGGAACACAAATTTGAAATGAACCGAGTTCAAAAACTGAGATATCAGTATATATTTTTTTTTCCAAAAGCTACATCTTTTCATAAGGATACTGTCTTTAGTTTATTGCATAATATTTTAAAGAAGGGTGGACACTTCAAGAAATCTTAAAATACACTACTTCAAAACATGTAAAATGGCACCTAACCAAGAAAATAATGCAACATTGTTGGTATACTGAGAGAAACTGGAGACATTTAGATAAATGTCTGCCAGGACAGCACTACTATAAAATTCTTTATAATGAAAATACACACTGGTGTATGAATAAAAAAGCAAGAGAGAGAAGAAAATAACTTGGCAGTAGTTCTAGAAAAGACCTTGCCGTTGGAAGCCAACCTAGGAAAGTTGCTTCTCACATTATTTACTCTTGTATTACCTTTTGAATTCTTAGATAGATTTCCATTTTTCAAGCCTAAAATACCTTGGAAAATGTTCAGTGATAAAAAATACTACTAACTGGAGATTGGCAATGAGGAAGTATTCATCGACTCAAGGAAGCTTAACAGTGGTTTAGAGGTCAACCAGATCTGAGTTCATATGTTCTGCTGCTTAACAACAGCTTGAAAAGGACATACTGCATTGTTTAAACTTCAGTACAGTGGCACTTCAGTTCATAAATACTTTTGTTTGCAAATAATTTGGTTTACAAAAGCATCTGGCAAAATTTCGTTTTTGTTTGCAAACTCTGCATCCGGTGACAAACACAACCACAGCCATCTTTCCCACATGAACACAAACATGGCCAACTTTTCTAAAATTGTAGAACAAACTAAATTTGCAAGCCAGACTAGTTTATATGGGCTTCCATTTTCTTACATGTACAGTGGTAATGCTGATGATCATACCTATCATAGAGTTGTTGTAAGATCAAATAAAGTAGAAGCATGTGGCGCAATGCTTTTCAGAAGCCCTCAGAAGATGATAGCTTTTATAGGTGACTTCTATCCTGTTCACCAGTCTTAGTGCTAAGACCTTAGACAAGGGACTTGATCTGGGTAAGCCTCTCATTTGTTTCCTGTTGATACGGCGGATGCAGTAACAACAGTGGCCCATCTAAATGGGTTATTGTGAGGAATAACTGAAGTAAGAGTTACAGTGTACTTAGTTACCATAGTGCCTATCCCGGCAAAATAATAAATGCTACTTGTCACACATATTTTGAAACAATTTGTGTGTTAAATATTACTTTCTTCAACTATCTATTTTAATTATAAATAAGAATTTAGCATTTATTTTATATTAAAGTACATTTGGTTTTATTACACAGTTTGTGAAAGAGACAGACAACGAAGTGAGAATGCGACTCTTACAGTTTGTCACTGGAACCTGCCGCTTACCTCTGGGAGGATTTGCTGAGCTCATGGGTAAGTGAAGTCTCACTGCAGTTTGTAGATAGTTTTCTGATAATGACCTCTAGACATACGGTAGACTTGACCCTGAGGATTATTATTCTGAGCTTTATATAAGGCTTCTACTGTAAAAAACAGTAATAGATAAAAAGCATGCGTGAGGCAAATCTGAGTCTCTTCATATAGTCTAAAGGGCAGGGGTTTGTTCCCTAAGTAATTGTAAAGAAAGCCAGCTTCTGTAGAACTGTGATTTTCTTTCCATGGATGTCATTTTTAACTGCTAGATCTCCACATCACTGAGCTGCTTCTCTGTTGTGAAAATTCTTTGTTTGGTATCATCCGTATGATTTTGTGACACTTTCTGTTAGTTAGCTGTCAAAACCACTTTAAATCTGATAAATGTTATTTTATTTTCTTGATTTAGGAAGTAATGGGCCTCAAAAATTTTGTATCGAAAAAGTTGGGAAAGATACCTGGTTACCAAGAAGCCATACATGGTAAGTTTAAAAATCCTAAGTAGGAAAGTAAGAGCTAGAGAGAATTTTTTGTTTTTTAAAAATATATAAGATTCAGGCTAGGGATTTAGCTCAGTGGTTCCGCCACCTGCCTCACAAATGCAAGAACCCAAATTTGATCCCCGGTACCCCCCCCAAAAATTTTGTGTGTGTGTTTGTGTACACACACACATACCCAAACACACACACGATTCAGTATAACTGCTCATTCATTAAGGTAGTCAGAATTTAAAGTTTGAGAACAGACCAATTAATATTCTATAAACTCTTTAGGATGAATTCTTACTGGTTAATAGAAACATTTAAAACCTGTATTAATTGGTTCAGTAAATATTGAGAGTACCTATTATGTAAAAATAAGAGCAAATTGCTCCTTACCTTTTATGAACTTTGCATTCCATGGCAAGGGACCTAGACAAACAAGTAGCTGGAAACAGAGTGCTATAACAGAAAACAACTGGAGGATAAGGGTGGTTAGGGAGATTTCTTGGAACAGATTATGTTTAAATTTGATAAATAGTATGTTGTGAGAAGAACATTTTTTTAATAGAGCTGAAGTAAGCAAAAACCCTGAAAGAATTTTTGAAGGAAATGAAAGGTAATTGATATGATCAGAACTTCTGAATAGGAGAGATGAATTTAGAAATACAGGTAGGAACTAAATTGATATAGAGTCATATTGCCTATTATAAAGAATTAGGATTTCATTCTAAGGAAAATTAGAAATCTTTGAACATTTTTAAGTAGCAAGTAATGGTATCCAAGAAAATCATTTTGGCCACAACATAATCAAGGGGATGCAGATTAGTTGTGGAAATGTTTGTATTACCCAGATAGGACATGATAGCTTAGAGACGTGTTGTTCTTTCTGAAAGTCAAACTATTTTCATCCTAAGCCATTATTTAACTTTTTATTATTTCCATATTTGTATTTGGGGCACAAAAGCAACAGTGGGTAAAACTTGATACTACCTTTATAGAAATTAGGGCAGTGGCAACCAAGCTGCTACCCTGTGCTTGCCACTTAAAGTAAAACAGTAACAAAAGGGTTCATTGAAGATCGTTCTTTATGAAGCAATAAAAAGTTATTTATTAAATCTTGATGCTTGAAAATACATCTTTCTTACATTAACTTAAGAGAATAACAAGCCATTCACTTGAGTATTTGGCATTTTCTTGTAATGAAATAAGCTTGTCACTGCAAGGAAAACAGTTGAATTTGTTGACGATAAAAAATTAAGGTTTTAAGCAAAAATGATAATTTGGAAAATTTTTATGTGCCACCCTGAGCTTGACCACTTCCTAAGACTTTACTGATATTAGTGATGTTAATGATAAATGTGATCTTTTTTCTTTATAATTAAATGTATCAATATTTAGAAATACAACTTGGTGAACTGTTTTCAGTGATCAGTGACTGATATTTCAAAATCATGCATAAGTAAAAGATATACTCAGTACAAAAGAGATCATTGGATTTATAAAAAAGAACAAAATGTTCTTTGATGATTTCAGAACCTATGTTGTGTATAACTTAGTCAAATTTAATATAGTATCAAAGAATAATACCCAGTTATTTATAAAATAATTAGAGTACATCCCCATTTTCTAACTATCTGGGAGATAAGATTTTTATATCCAAAACAATACAGTGCAACACATTATATGCAGAATGTCTTTTAAGCCAAAGTATTTAAAAAGATTTGCAAAACTATAAAACAGCAACATGCCACTATTTTTTGGAAATAGACATTTTTTCATGTTGTTTATTTTATAATGAATTAATGTTTGTTTGTTTGTTTGTTTGGTACCGGGGATTGAGCTCGGGTCCTTGCGCTTTGCAAGGCAGGCCACCAAGCCGCTGAGCTAAATACCCGGCCCCATGAATTAATGTTTTTAAGAGTGAACTATGGATTCTTATAACCAAAACCAGATGATAATTTCTGGCCTAAAATAGTAGATCCAAAGGAGAGGAAGAGATTATTGAGATAGGAAGAGGGTTAAAGATTGTAGACTTTGCAAAAGGAGAATAATGACCAATTTTTTGTTTCTTGTATTCTTAAAATGTAAGGTGAAATCACTGGCCAATAGTGAAGAAAGGAAAAATTGAAGAAAAAAATTGAGAGACTTTTCAAGGAATAGACAAGTGTTTATTAGAGAAAAATGCTGGACAATTTTGGATTGTTGGAGTTGTTAGTTCATGTAAAAGGATAACAGTGTACTAAATTACGTGATCTTCCCCCAGTAATTTTCAGATGTTAAGGTGCAAAGAAAAGAAAACAGAAGGTACATTCATTCAGGATTTGAGTTTTATTTATTTAATTCAAAAGAAGACAGGTTATAAAACTATTTGCAAAGTAGTGATTATGATAGACTAGGATCTTGAAAGTAATTATAGTGATGGTCTGTGAATGAAGAAATATGTAAGGACAGGAAAAAGCTGAGGGGGCTGTATAGGATGGTAAAAGAGAAATAAGTTAATTGGCTGGCATATTCATTGAATTAACCTGAAAGACAGATGGTCAGAGAGTAAGATTTTTAAATTGGAAATTTTCTTTATTGGTGTTGGCAAAGTTCAGGTTATGATCCTGGGGATCTAGGTGGCCCTGGCATTGGATGTCATCCATGTGAAAGAGAAGACAGTGCACCAGTGAGGAGGAGCATGACAGAGATCAGCAGATGATAGAAAAAGTCAGAGGAGCTGCATAACTGGTCATTGTGTGCCTGCCTCAGGAAAGTTTTATTGCTTGGGTGTAGAGGAAATGACATTTCAGACCCAGCTGGATTTCAGTTTTGGCAGAAGTTTTTGAGACTTTAGGAGACTGCAAATCATGAAACACAATTTCATAACAATAGGGCCAGGGATTTAGCTCAGCGGTTCTGTGGCCTGCCTTGCAAGCGCAAGGACTCGAGCTCAATCCCCAGTACCAAAAAAAAAAAAAAAAAAAAAAAAAAAGCAATGGACGAAAACTGAGAAGGAAGACAAAGGTTGCAATTATTTTACATCAAAGGAAATACATTATCGCTGTTGGGGGGGGCATATGTGTGAAAATAGATGATCCAGAAAAACTTAGATTTTTAAGTACCTAAGCTAACAGTGATGAAGTGATCTGGGATGAAATTAGCCTTGATAATTGTCAGGATGAGAGGGTAGAGTTATGGTGTTTTACTTAGGGTGGCGGCAGCTTTAAACTTTTCTCAGCTATATATACATTTGGCAAGCCAATAGCATACTATTTACAGATAAGAAAGTAAAAGTAGCAAATTTTATTTTATATATTTTACAAACATCACTCTCAAAGCCAGAGGTAAAACATAAAGTACTTTGATATTCACATAATAAATAATAAAAAATAAGTGGATTTTGGTATATCTCTGCTTTTTATAAAACAGAACAAAATATAATCTATTTTTTTAAATTTTCAAGTGAATACACGTGTTTTTCAGCTCAGCACTACTAAATATTTACCATATGTAGAATGTATCAGTGTTAATAAAAGAGTAGATTAATAAGCTTTTGAGAATTTTAGAGTTTAATACCTCTTATAGATTTTAGAATTTAATAGAAGAAACCAGTTAGTTACAAAGTAAATGCTAAAATAGAAATAAAAAGATGTATGAATAGAATTACTGTTTACATAAGATACTCAAGATGAACTTCCTGGACGAAGTTGAGGCATCTTGGCTGATTCTTAAGTACCTAAGACTTTCATAGGGAGAAGAGGATATTCCTGGCCTCAAAGAGGCCTTGAAGTATGGTCATTAAAAAAAAAGAAGAAAAATGTATGTTAGGCCCAGAGCACATGAAGTAAGTTGGCAGAGGCTGTACAGCTCTACTCAAGAGCCCTGGCTTCCTTCCGTCACCTCATTCCTCCTCATTCAATGTACTTTAGAGAATACTGTGTTAGAAATCTTTTCAGAGTTTATTGAAAACATCTGATTTTGTTTTTGTTTTTATTCAGTTTTAATCGCTTGGATCTACCACCATATAAGAGTTATGAACAACTAAAGGAAAAACTTCTCTTTGCAATAGAAGAGACAGAGGGATTTGGACAAGAATGAATGTGGCTTTTTGTCTTGGAGGAGCGCTTGCATTTAAATACCCCAGCCAAGAGAAATTGCGCAGATAGTGTATATAAGCTGTTCATTCTGTACAGTGAATTGTCTGAACCTCTCAAAGCATAAATGTTTTCCGTTCCACAGAAATATGCAAAAGTCATCGTTTTCTACTTTATTTATTGTTCCTTTGAAATGACGACCAGAAAAAAGATCATCCTTAAATTTTGAAGCAAGAGACTTTATTAAAAATAAGTATATATCTATATAAGCATATATGATAGTGGCTCTAGTTTTATAGAGCTCCAGGTGTATTAAACATGACAGCTGTTCATTCACAAAGATCTGAATTTGCTTTACCTTGTTTCTGTGATCCAGGGAAATGTGCAAATTGCTCCATGTTCTTCTCCCTTATGTAACATCTCCAGAGGGTGTTTAGTTGCATGGCTATTCAGGAAGGTATTAAGGGCTTAGGCCAAATCTTGAGTGTATTTAAAAAAAATGCTGCTGGACTTTCTGAAGACAGGTACTTGAACCTGTCATTTTGTTTTAAATCCATTAGTGAAAAATGTCCCTCTTTGCTATATCAGTAATACAGTAAAAGTAATGAGTGAAACTAACTTACATGGAAGTCACATACTAGATCTAATAAAATTTAGTTTGTTATGGAGGTTGGAAAGAATTCATTGAGCAGTGTAGAGGTTTGTTTACATGTTACTTTGGGGTGATAGTTATTTGTGAAATTAAAAAGAATTGGCTACTTCTGTTTTTAAGATCTGTGACTCTTTAAATTCTATTCATAATAAATTGATGTACTTTGGTACTTAGGAACATATAAAAGTTCATGAGAAATTTGCCACTTTTGTTCATGTTCAAAGATTTGGTTTTATAAAAAGCAAATAAGAGTGAATAAAACAAGATGGATTGAAAAGTTTACATAAGCATTTGAACACTCAAATAGAAGACTAGTGATTTTTCTATTAGTGTTTGAATGTCTTCATTCTGTTTAAATTCATGAAAATTCTGTATCTAAATAAGCATACCCACCCTCCTTTTACATGGATCAGTTTATGTTTATCCTAACAATACTTTGTATTTCATTATAAGGGCATTTGTTGAACTACAAAGATGTATATAACAAATCAAAATCTAATATGAATGATATTCTGCTTTAGGAAACTGGGCTTCCTAATACAAAAATTTTAATGTCCAGTTTTAATCACGCTTTCAAATATGCACTGTAAATTTTATTAACTTAAAAATTTTTTATAACCATGGAACTGACTTCTTAGAATGTTTCCTGTAAATATTTCACTGCTAAGTGCATGTGGGAAATACTGGTATACAATCTAACTTCCATAAACACTAGTTGTTTTGCCAAAATTTTATTTTTCTACATATTGAACTGTTTCGAATTTTTACTCAAAATCCATAGTAAATATAAAATAAAGGCAGTGACACACTTAACTGATCAGACTCCTTTCCCAAATCCTAACTACAAACATTCTGGCTTGTTTTTTGTGTGTGTTAGGTTATACAGTAGAGCCTGACCATTGTTTCAGGATTGCTTAAACGTGTTCAGTAACAGGCACAGTCACAGTACCACTGGCATATGAAGTTTGGTACGACAGAAGTTATTCAGTGGAGCTACGAGAGAATTAAGTTAGCAGATCTGACAGGGATGGCTTTCAGGTAGGGTTTCAGGGTGCTGGTCCCTCCAGTAATTTGCTGTGCACTGGGTCAGGCTTCACAGAGCCCACAAGACCAAGCCGTCTTACCAAGGAAGACTTAATTTGCAGACTCCATCTGACTGTTGCATTTCATACCCTACTGTAGATTATCTACTCACTAGCAGAATGGTAGAGAAATGTGACCACCACTTTTTCCTTTCTCCTTATAACTGATCTGAGCCTGAACAGCCAGAAAGGAATTAGAAGTACAAGGCTCACTGTGCCTGGACATAGCTCATGAATGAACAGAAGACAAGAGGAAGCCTAGACAGGTTCACTTTGATGACACTCCCCACCAGCACCAGTGGGAAAAGGGTCACATGTTCATCCTTCACATCAGTTGTCTGTTCTCCAGAGAAAGAACCTATTTGGTGTTTTTCTGTACTTGTTAAACAGTTAAAAGTAAAAATGTTAACTGCTGACATCAGTTACCCAACCTGTGTCATACTACCCTGAAAACTCTATGGGACAGTATGTATTACTATATCAACAGGCAGCTTCACTCCTGTTAAAAGTGACCCTGCTCACTGAGAAGTTGCCTCTGGAAGGGGAAAACTCCAGATACGTAGTAAGAAGCTGTAACTGGGTTTCTGAGAGGGTGAAAACCTGGAACTAACTGTTCCTTATGAGGACTTCACTTGGGGAGACTATGGTTGACGGAGTTGTGTGGATGCTGTGCTACACGAGACTGCTGTTACAAAGCTGTCTTCTGGCCAGTTCTTAGCCAACTGCTTTCTGAGTACACCAGTGCCAAGCTAAAGCCTGCTGTAGACCTGCTGAGTCCTAATGTTTGAACCTAGGACAACATGGTGGACATTGCAGAATATCTTTGTTGAAACATGTACGAGAAAATAAAAGTTCTCCAACACTCCCCACTTCTCTTAATCTGTTAAATTTAGGAGCCAAGCTTGAAGTCAGATGGGTATTTGGTTCAAGTCCAAAAGTCACACCTAAATTCCAGAATTTCTCCAGTCACAAAGAATAATCTGATGTTGAGTGCTTTAAAAGTACTAATACATGTTTTTTAGTAGTCCCTTAATCTTAACAACTCCAGGGGATTGTGCTTGTTTTTAGCAATGCTTATTTTATAAGTCTGGAAAAGTTGGTAAATTCTGCCAACAAAGGAGCCAGGGGTGGTGGTACATGCCTATAATCCCGGCACTCGAATTAAAGGCAGCTGAGGCAGTAGGATCATTGAGTTTGAAGCCAGCCTAGACTACATAGTGAGCCCAACTATGAACTACAGAGAGACCCTGTCTCAGTTTACAGGTTTATATAAGATTACGGCCACTTTCCAGATTTTTTTTCACATCGTTAATGATTCATCTATGTCCGTAATATGTTTAGAAGACAAGAGCTCTTTATATTCTTAATACAAGTGTGTGGGGAAATGAACCTCTCAGACCAGCAGTGAGCTCTGGACAGCACAAAAGAACATCCTTAGGTGGAGAGTGCACAGGACGGAAGAAACGTGATGGGCTCCAAGGGCCCATGCTCAAGAGTGTCTCATGCTCATGTCAAAAGGAAAGCTTAGAGATCAAACATCTCTTGGGGTTGTGGGGAGACAGGCACTAAAAACGGACCCAGTGGGGGCCAGGGATTTAGATCAGTAGTTTCACCACTTCTCTTGCAAGCACAAGGTCCAGACTTTGATCCCCGGTACCCAAAAATAAAAGGACCCAGCACCACATTTCTAAGCATGAAATATGGGGCCCAATACCCCAATTATTTAAAAGTTTAAGGATAAGGAAGTTTTACTACTTAATAATTATATTAATATTATACGTGGGGTCCAAAGCAATTACTTTTACCAGTTGTGGCTCAGGCAAGCCAAAAAGACATCCATGGATCCTAAAGATAATGTTGACATAAAAATCAATAGAATGTGCTCACAGCAGCCTGCCTCCCTCCCAATAGTGGGTATGGAGTCCAGACCCTGGAACATGCTAGATGAGTGCTCTCACCACTGAGATACATCCCCCCCTTCACATTTCAGACAAGCTTTTGCTAGCTTCTTGCCTAGGCTAGACTTTTAACTGGCAATCCTCTTGCCTCAGCTGGGATTATAAGGCATGTGTCCACATCCAGCAGCTTTATTTTTAACAGCCAAAAGTGGACAACTAAATGCCATTCAGTGGTTAAATAAACTAATATATTTGTATAATGAAATACTTGCTAACACTAAAAGAAACTGTTGATAGAACTTAGGCAAGTCTAAAGTGAATTATGCTGGGTGAAAAAAATATATACCATTTCTCCAAAGAGAACAAGATCAAGGGCTGATAGAGGCAGGGATGGCAGAAGGAGAGGAAGTATACGGGTGCAACTCTGAGCTATGGATCTTCACAGTGACGGAACAGGCCTGTAGACTGGTGTCAGTTACAAAAATCTACATGTGATAAAACTGCTCAGAACTACATACACAAGTGAGAGCATTTAAAAGTGGCAAAAATCTAAGGCCTGTTACTAGTTAGGTATTCTGCAGTTAATATGTTAGCACAACACCCTTTTTGACAATTTCATTTGATTTAGTTAAAAATAAAGTTCATTAAAGTATCAGAAAAATAGACCTCCCATGCACAAAATGCTCTATTACTGAGATAAGTTTCACAGAAATAAATTACCAGATGTTGTGTGTGTGTGCATATGTGAGTGCAGTGGGATTGACCTCAGGGATCTGTGCGTGCAAAGTTCACACTAAACATTTAGTTACATCCTCAGCCCAAGATTATTCTTGAACCACCTAAACCCCTAGTTTCCTGATTTATTGGTAACAAAAACAAAAAAACTACATTCCTAGCAAAGTTCAAAGTCATTCTAGAGAAAACTGAAAATGAGGAAAGCCGCTAGGGATATAGCTCTGGTACAGTGCTTATTTAGCAGGTATGAGGCTCTGTGTTTAATCCCCCAGTGTGGAGAATAAAAAAGAAAAAAAACAGTAAAATTCTCTAATATCTAATATAAATGAGTAAGTTGCAGACATGTAAAAACTTCAAATGAGAAATTCTAGAACTCAGAACTGGTCAAACATGAAGATGTGAAATGGCTGTTGAAAAAAGTGAAGACAGAAATATCTCAGAAATGAAGAGAATTTGAGAGAGTCTACAGAAGAATGCATATTTAAAAAATGACAAATACGGAAGCCCAATGAAAAGAGGTTTCCGGGAAACACAGTGATGAATGTAAAAATCAGGTACAACTGTGACATACAAAAAATTAACTAGACTGTCTGAAAATGGTAGAACAATGGATTTCAAAAGTAAGAGCCCAGTCTGGAATGAGGGACAATCACTATGACAAACTGGGCTGGTCTCCAAAAGATGCTGTGCAAAAAGTGGAGGAACTCTTCTAGATTAAAAACAACTAAGCAGCAAATCAAATACAATAACACAATCTGATTGGTCCTACTTCAAAAAAGGGTGGGATATTTTAGGACATTTGAGGAAATTTGAATATGGCTTGATCTATTAATCAGTAATGCTACAGTTGTAATAATGGATTCATATTTGTTTTTTTTGGAAGACACCCTCAGGACAGAGGACACGTGGTGAAATACATATGCAATTCAAAAGTTTAAATATGGTTATACACAAAATAAAATACAACAATTGTTCAATCTCAGAGATGGGTATACAGAACTCATTACTTTCATTTTTTGTTTGAAGATATACATGATAGAGGATATAAACAGTTTATTGTAACATAATTCTTAAATCCTTTGGGGAAAAAATGCATCCACACGGCTAGGGTAGCACAGTGGCAGAGTGCTTGGCTAGCATGCACAAGGCCCTGGGTTCAATCCCAAGCACTCCAGAATAAAGGAAGAAAAACTGACCTACACAGTCAGATTTATCTACGAGGCATTCAAGAGACTCCTTTTTAATAAGCTTAAGATTTTGCAGTGGTTGTACGCCAGCCTCAAGTAGCACTGATCTACTTAAATTATCTTAATTTCTATTGCATCCTTAAATTGTGTTTCTTTCATCTCAATACACAAAACAATTTGGACTGTTTGGTGACAAACTCAGTGCACCACATTCAAATGGAAACCATCCCACTTCCAGCCCTCTCCCGACCTGAGCTCTTTCTTCGTGCAGGCTGGCTCCACGACACATCACTTACTACTATCCTTCAAACCAAGAACCCATCCACAAAACCAAGAACCCATCCACACCGTAATCACCTTTTGTTGTATATTCTCTGCAAGATATCAACTTTGTATCAAATCCAACTTGAAAATCCACTCCCACAAGCTTTGTTTCCTCTTCCACAAAGCTTTTGTTTCTTGATACCTTCTCATCCTGATGCAATCAGTACTTAGAAATTTCATTCCATTTTGCATTGGTGATCCAAATGCAAAATAATCTTTCTGCTAGAGTCATGGGAATTTTTACAAGTACCACCCTTAGGTCAATATGGCAGTTACTTCTTTTACCTTCTTCTTTGTGAAGAAACCAAGAATTTTATATATTTAGTTTAATGGTAACAACATTAAAAGAACTAAAAAAAAAAAAGCCACAGAACAGTCTGGTTAATGTATTATATTTGTAATTCCATGAAAAGGTAGGATGCTGGGTTATTTTCTTTTCTGAAAAGTCTCCAGTTCTTGTCACAAACCTGTAAGCAACTGAGCAGCTTCTGTCTGTATCTATAACAGAAAAACATTATTTATGAGTAAACAGTGCGACTTAGAGATTAACTTGTGAAATGTACATTTATAAAGTGGACTACAGTTTCTAGATGTTTCCAAAAACCAATATAGAATAAAATTGTAAGAATAAAACTTTTTGGATGAGACTCAGAGAACTCTTCAACTTTAGTATGTAAGCCTTGACTTTTATGTTTTAGAAATCTTACATGATCTGCTATATCTGTTGAACAGGAATAATTCTGTATTGCAGCAAGCAACTTAATTATTTGGTGACAATAACTAAACATTTCCTATGTAGAAATAAATGTAGATACATCCACATTTGAAATGAACTGTGTTTCCAGCAATACTTACATTTAGTCAATTATACTTTTAAAAGTTCTTAATTCACCTTTCTTAATAGTGCCTCAATGAAAACCTGTCTGCTTTACTGTATTGGAGATGTTTTACCTGTTTATCTTCTTCTGTGTGTGCTGGATAGTCCCTGGCTTTCATTAGCCATAAAGCAGCAAGCTTTTTGTTGTTTAGCTTCAAATATGTCTTTCCTAAAAGAAGCAAGTTTTTGCTGTAGAAGTTTGGATCCACTGTACATAAAAAGGAAAAACAAATTTAGTTCAAGAGAAACAGTACTGCCTACAATTTTACAAATTTATCTAACTTCTAATAAAATTCTATGGTTAATAAGTGATTAGGCTTACTAAAACTCTGTTCAGTTGTTCTAATCTCATATTGTAAAATAATCAGCACTGAAAATCTTCTCCATGTTAGGCACTATTTTCACACATTTTTCATCTTCACAATAATCTTTTAAAGTAGGTGTCTCCATTGAGAAGCTAAGGCTTCTGATTGGATATAAGCTACCTAAGAACGTCAATTTTCTTTCAAAATCCCTGTTACTATATCCCAAATCCTTAGAACTGTGGCTGGAACATACCAGATACTCAGTATATTAGCTGAGAGAGTAAATGAAATCATGACAGTATATCAATTTGATCAGTATTTGCTAAATGATATTAAGAATGAAAGTTTTTGCTCTTTTTGGAATTTATAGAGAAAAGGAGAAATATGAACACAACTAAGTGAATGTTACACATGAATGATTTACCAGAAGTACAACCAAGCGCTACAAGAAGCCAAGAAAAAAGTCAGATCATAATCAGTACTCACTTGGATGAATGAAAAATTTTTTTCCAGTGTTCAGATTGAGCCTGTCCGTCTTGAATGACAGACAAACGCTCTAACAGTGAGCTGTATCCCCAGCCTTTTTAAAAAAATTTTGAGACAGGGCCAGACTTGGTGGAGCACACCAAGCATTTGATCCCAGCATTTGATTGGCTGAAGCAGGAAGATCACCACAAGTTGAAGGCCCTGACAGGTTTTGGCTGTGTTACTCAGGTTAGTTTCAAATTTGGAATCCTCCTAACTCAACCCTCACCCTCCCTAGTAGCTGGGAATACGGACACATACCACCATGCCTCACTAGGATGAACAAGATTTTAACAGAATAAAGTGAACATTCTTGGCAAAAGGAAAAAACATGAGCAAAAAGCCTGTGGATGTGAGTAGCTAACAATGGTCACCAGAGACTAGGAAGGGGAAAAGGTGACAGGAAGATTGGATAGGGCGTACCAAAATGATTCGGAGGAAAAAAGACCTATAGAACAGGAGGATGACTGTAGTTTATTCCAACTTACTATATATTTTGTAAGTAACTACAAGCGAGTCCAGAGCTCAACATAAACAAACAATAATGTTTAAAGAGATGGAGATAGTAATAACCCAGATTTGATCATTACATATTGTATACATGTACTGAAGTATCACACTGTTCTCCATAAATGCATACAAGTATGGATTCATAAAAAGAAAAAATAAATTTCAAACCTACGAATGAAAGCATGGAAGTATGTTTTCAATAACCACTAATTCTTCACATAGTTACCACCTAAAAAACCTGGAACCCTCTATACGAAGAGCATACTGTCTGGGGCTGAAGGTATGGCTCAGTGGTATAACCATTTACCAGGTGCTAGGCAGGCCCTGTGTTCAAACCCCAGCGCCAAAAAGAAACAAGCAAGGCATGGTGACACGTGCCTGGAATCCCAGCTCTTTGGGAGAGTGAGGCAAAAATATCACAAGTTCTAACCCAGCCAGGGCTCAAAATTATAAAATAAAATTTTAAAAAGGTTGGGCATGTAAATCAGTTCAAGCCTCCTTACCTCAAAAAAAGAAACAAAGCATACTTTTTCCTGGATATAAGTATGATTAACTTCATTGCCTTCTAACTCAGAACTGTTTAACCCCAATTTATGTATCTTTGTGTGATGATACACTGAACTTCTTAGGTTAAGTATACTGACTGATCCGTTTACAAAGTCATCTTGCCAATTTGCCAAGAACTGCCTGCCACTCTGCCAGGCAATGAGGAAATGACTGTGGTGAGCCAAAATCAAAATCCCCATCTTCCCAGAGCCTGTAGCTGTCTACATAAATGCATGTTCATAGTTTGGGGCATTAAAAGCACAGGAGGAGCTTCTGAACCAGCTCTGAGCCATAATGGAAGGGTGCCTGGAGACAATGATTGAAGGACAGTGACTGAAGTTACCAGGGGTTATTTTAACTCCATGAAGCAGGGCCATATTCTTCTCGGATCCGACCCTTAAGTCTGTAAGGTCCAATTTGTATTTTGTAATTATACTTTAAAATCCCTCTGAGAAAATTTCATTCCTACAGTCATATAAATGATATATAGTGTGATCATAAAAAGGTATCAAAGGCAGTAATAAACCAAATTTATCAATTAGAGACTAAACAGTCAAATATAAATCTTCAGCAAACTATTTTTTTAAAAAAGTAAAATATTATTTATAAAAGCATTTGAATAGGTCCATATGTGTAAGATCTCTAATAAATACTAGTTCTTCTAAACTACACACAAATTAGATTTTTAGAGTAATTATCTGAGGTGGTTTTATGGTGTATTTGGTAACAAATATTTACATCCCTTATCTTCCTGCTTAGTGTTATAATTATTAAAATGGGCAAATTTGTAGGATGGGGTGATGACAGTTCTACAGGGCTTTTTCAAAAACAAGAAAAACATAAAACACTTTATCACACCAAGACAATATTCTACAATACACCAAAAACTAGAACGATCTAAAACAAGAGTTTTCGCTGAGGTGCCTCTAAGTCACTGTCAGAGCATCAACCTGTATGAACAGCTCTCAGAAGATTAAATTACATTAAATTAAGGATTATTCCAGAACTGCATAACTAATTTCAGTAGTGGTCTACTCAGGTGATCATTATTTTAAAAAAATTTAAAATTGTTTTATAATATTTAGTTTAAAATGTGTAACAGACTAAATAACTTTTTTGGAGGGAGTAGGAGGGGTACCTGGGATCAAATTCAGGACCTTGAGCTTGTGAGGCAGGTGGTGGCACCACTGAGCTAAATCCCCAGCCCCTAAATAACTTATTTTTTAAAATCCTATATACTCAGCATTTATACAATTTTAAGTATATTAAGATATATGAAATTAAAAAGTTACCTTGTTCAGCTCTGTGAAAGTAGCCCAAGGCCTATCACAAATACAAAGAGCACAAACAATATAAAAAGAAAGTTGATTCAGTATTTCTTAAATGTATTTTCTGAATGATCTATTAGTAAATCATCTTAAAATCAATTTTTCAACAATAAGATTAACACAACCAAATGTAACACTTACATCATCAGAGAATAGAAATACAATAGAATATGTGTGCTACTTGTAATAATTTTGTTGCTATTTAGAACATGTACTCTAATTACATATTCTTTTTTTCTTTCTAGTACTAGTAATTGAATCTTTGCACTACATCCCCAGCCTTTTTTACTTATCATTTATAAGAGGATCTCCCTAAATTTCTAAGTTATTCAGGCTGACCTTGAACTTGAGATCCACCTGCCTGTTTCCTTGAATGTGGGGATTACAGGCATGCACCACCATACCTGGTTATACCTCTAAATATTCCTTATATCACATTATACATTAGAATTGTTTTTTCCCAAAGGGAAACAAAACAAACACCTTGTTATGATAGAAATATTGGGAAAACTTTTTCAACTGCCTATTTACTTATACTATGTGATTCTGTGATTAAGTAAACTCAAAATGTTTACCCAGGGGACTGGTAGTGTCACTCAGGGGTAAAGCTCATTTAGTATGTACAAGGCCCTGTGTAACAGTTGCTGTTATTTCTTGTTCTACTTTATGACTTTTAAAGATATAGATGTTAAATGGAAAATGAAGTTAAGATTTTAGCCATTAGCTATTTTAGCTGACAATATAACAATCATCAGCCACTCACCTAAAGGAAAAATTAAAAAGCACTCACCAGTCATGGACAATAAGTATTAAGTCTTTGTGATATGATAGTTGAATTGGATCATTACAAACTTGCTCAAGTCCCTCACTGAATCAGAGCTCCGTATGTGTGGACGTGGTAGAATGTGCTGTAGTTAAGAAATCAGTACTAATTTAACAAAGGACATCATACTACCTCCTCATAGGTGGAACTAGGAGGAGTTGCAAATAGCACTTTAGCAATTCTTCTTTGATACCAAGGCATTTCAGCAAAAGTATAGCACCTACAGAGAAATAAAATAGCATTACACATTCATTACCATCTTTTTTTCACTTAAGGAAGCTAAACATCTCAATAGATATTATAAAAGGAGTCTTCTATTTTTAAACAATTTTATTTTACTTGCATGTTATCCAGTACTTAATATTCACATTGAATTACCTAGAGACTGACATGATCCATTATCTATGTATTTCACGGCTGAATATAAATAGTAACAACAGTACAAGTAGCGATAGATCCTATATCATCCATCACTAAATGATTATCTTTTATTCCTTATAACAACTAAATGATACAGGATCACTACTCTCTGTTTTTTACATAAGGAAAACTTTAGAGAAGTTTAAAAAAATTTATCCAAAAAAAATGACAAAGCTAAATATGATATACATGAATAATAATCACTAACAATTTGAGTCCATTTCTAAACGAGTAAAGCAAATGATTTATATCCAAAAATCTTTACAACTTTCTGATAAAAGAAAGAGAAAAGTTTGAGATTTTTGACTAGAGTCTGAATCCCTTGAGGCAGAAACTTTATCTAATGTTTGCTAACTATGTGATTGTCCCTCAATTATCATTAATCCTTGGTAATTAAAGATCCTCTTTATCCTGAAAAATTTACTTCTCTTTTAGAAGCTTGATACAGGACTGTTTACACTGGTACCCTTTTAGATAGTAAATATTTAGGTCAACAGACTATACCCGAAGGAAGCATTGGCCAAGCTGTTATCTCAAGACTCTTAAGCCAACAAATATGTAACATGTTGGTATGCACTAATATCAGGAAAATAATGATCCATCAGTGGGTGCAAGATCACACTGAGAATCAAAAGAAGAGTTGGGATATAGCTCAGTCATAAAAGGCTTGTCTAGCATGTGAGGCCCCTTGTCTAGCATGTGAGGCCTTAGCGCAGCAAAAAAGAAGACAAGAAAGATTATATTGTTCCTCAGATTAACTTAGTATTTTACAAACTTCAAATGTGAAAAAGATTCTCTTGAGCCTTGTTGTTTTTGGCGAATGAGGATATTACTTCCCAAAAGAGGAAATTTAAATAAAGGCCTACAAGTTTTAAGTTTTTAAGTGTGTGTGTTTCTAAATGACTTGAATAATGATGTTTAACATGATCACAAATTTAGCATCTTCTAACAAGACACATACAAGCACTAGTTAATGAATGAATTTAACATTCTGAACTCCCTTGAGTATTTTGAAGTATTTTTCATCTTGCTTTCGTATGTACTACATTATACATACTATTAAGTAAGATCATACTAAATAGCACTGAAATTTTAAAGAAATCTTCTTACCAAATACCCATAAGGTGAATTGAAGTGGCATCTTTAGGGTTCAGTTCAATTGCTTTCTATCAAGAAATGAGAAAATCATCATATTCATTTTCAAGCAACAATATGTACTTTACTCTGTTTGGTAAAGAAGTCAAGACTTTCTAAACAACCTCAACCCTGCATGTTATTTCTTCTGTAATAGTCAATACCAACTTTCTTCCTCCTGGTTCTTTACTAATGACCTGTACTGAGGTTACTATTTTATAATTCAGAAACTGAGAGGAGGATCTATTAAGCTAAAGAAAAACTAAATCCTTTTTTTGGCAAATCCTAAATGAATACTAAACGAAAAGCATTCTTTCTTAAAAGAACTAGAAGTATTTAATTTTGAAAAATCTCTTCTATATGCAGACTTTGCTTAATTTTGCTACCTGTACTTACTAACAGAAAAATAATAAGTATTCTTAGGACATAACAGAATAACTTTGTACAATATTAACAGTAAGGTGATAAATCCCCCTAATTTATTTACTATGTCAATTAGAATAATTTAAAAGAAGTTACTCTTCAGCCAGCCTGGGCAATTTAGCCTGACCCTGTCTCAAAATAATAAAAGGACTAGGGGTTGTAGCTCAGTGTTAAGAGTGTTTGCCCAGCATGTATAAGACCCTGGGTGCAATCTACTGTACCAAAAAAAAAAAAAAAAAAAAAAAAAAAAAAAAAAAGAAGAAGAAAAAGAAGAAAAATTGCATCTCTTATTCACTATTTTATTAAAAATCATTAAGGAAATCTCACAAATTAATGTTCATCCTAATGAAAAGGAAGGCTTTTTTTTTTTTAAGTTAAGTTTTTCAGTTTACGCTTTTCTGTAAGCCCCCATTTTCACTTTTAGTTTGGTAATATATGAGATGCACAATTTCAAACATTCTTAACAGCTAAGAGCATGGGTTCTGAAAGCAGACTGTCCAGATTCAAATCACAGCTCAATGGTGATTTGACCTCTGCTGACTTTAGTGAATTCTATATTCTTGCTGTGCCCAAGTTTTTTAAAACAAACAGACTGGTAGTGTAGCTCAGTGGTAGTATTTGCCCACCATGTATATTTCTTTGTCCTGAGTCACAGAGTAATTAGGTAATCTAGTTATACTACTAAGAAAATTTTTTTCCTGAACCTAAGATACCAAAAACAGTATTTCATACCATTATTTTATGTGCCACTGAAAAAGAAAAAAACACTGCTGCCAATTATACTGTAAGGTACTACTGACTGCATAATGCAATCAGAATTCAAAGATCCGAAAATATGGGATGTGCATTGATTACATTGTAAAACACAAAATAGCTGTCTTCGATATTACTGATGCCTGAATAAGAAGTCAAGGCCCTGACTCCCAGTCCTCTGTTGCTCTTCACTTGTAGCTGCATAAACTGAAACTGACACTATGACCATAAAGTCTCAAAGCCACAGGACAGCACCTCCAGTACTGTCCCTGTGTGTGCTTCTGCTGCTTTTTCTCCTTCGTATTTTTAAAAGAAATACATATCCTCAGGTTTTCATGTTCATTTATTTTAGGACTGACTAGCTATGAAAAGATAACAGACTCCTACAGAATTATTGGCAGCTAAAGAAGAATCTGCTCTAAGTGAGTTAATTTTAGAGGGGAATATTAAAGCACACAATACACAAAAAAACATAACCCTAACTAGAATTATCACTACTCAGGCCAGGAATTTAGCTCAGTGGTGCCACTGTCTGCCTTGCAAGCACAAGGTCGTAAGATTGATCCCTGGTACCAAAAAAAAAAAAAGAATTATCACTACTCTACTGGTATGTCAGTTGGGTTAGATGTTTCATTAGGTCATGTGGGTATTCTGGACCTTTTATGACCAGTTTCCTTCCACAGAAACTGGGCTCAGCTATCACTTAATTAGATCATCAGAATGTTACAGAGTGTGCTGCAAACAGGTTTGATAAAAGTTTATACACTGGAACGTTCCCCTCAGAACTCTCACTCTTGAAGGCTAGCTATGGTGCAATAAAGAAGCTTCGTTTAGACCACAATGACAAGACAAATGGGCAGGAACTCTAGATAGAAAGGCACTCTAGAACATTTAAGGCACAGCTGAGGGCCTGGGTAATGGATGTGGCCATCTACATGACCTTATGTATACCAAGTAGGGCAGAAGCACCACAGGACTCAGCAAAACTAAAATAAGTAACCCAGTGCTTTAGACTGTTTTCCAAGAGATAAAATCTGGCCATGTTTACCCAGACTGATCCAGAAACCCTAGGTTCAAGGGATTCCCATGTCTAAGGTTCTTGAGGAACTGGAACTACAGGTCCCAGCTACCATGCCCAGCTTCAGGCCATTAAGTCTCAGGTGATTTGGGAAATTGAACAGGACGATAATTGACTTTTTAAATTCATAAACTTGAACAGTTCATCAGTACCTCAAAATGCTCCTTGATAATGTAGGCATTTGCAATTTTAACCTTGATGCCTTCATAATCTCCAACATCACTAATGCAGATTGCATACCACTATGAGTAGAAAGAAAAAGGTGTGAGAATACTCTTAATAACTGATTTAATACAAAGAAAAATCAAACAATTGTTTATTTCTCAACTGTCATTCTCATTTAACAAAAGTTATTGAGCATAAAAACAGTGCTAAATATAGAAGAATATACAAAAAAAAGTGGGCATGGCTCAATTTCAGGGACAGGACATTTTTTGTAGATAACTACATTACAGGGTATGAAGCAGTGAATTTAAGAAAACTGCCACTACAATGAGGCAGTAATGGGTTGTGTTTATAGTCCGAGTATAAATTTAGGAAATCTTGTAAATGCGTATCTATCACCTCATCTTCTTTTCTGGGATCTGCCTCTTTTACAGCACTGTGTTAGTCGGAACAGCAACAACTGTCAATTGTGACATTGTCCTCATAGCTACAGGAAGAAAGCAGATCAAAAGGAAGCAGCTTGAGTCCCTACCCACCCCGCAAGAAATGAATCTAAAATATCCAAGCTTGCTGGGTGCATGCCTGTAGTCCCAGCACTTGGAAGGCCGGCAGATTGCTTTGAGTTTGAGGCCATCCTGGACTACGAAGTAAGTTCAAGTGCAGCCTGAACAGGAGTCCCTGTCTCAAAAACAAACAGAGCCAAGCTTCATAAACCCAAGTGCTGTGGAAAAATTACAAAACTTAGGTTAAGGCAGAAGAAAAGAAAGTGAACACAGATTTGTAAATAATACCACTGAGGAGAGATAATGAAGTCTTAGAGCAATCAAACCAGTTTTCTCCTGAGGCCCAAAAGAACCCTGCCTTTGGCTTCTATGAAATAAAATAGTTTCTTTTAATCCCCTCATTCCCTTTTTTGTTTGAGCCAATTAAGATCTCTGCTTTCTTGATAGCAGCCATTCTTTGTGGGGTAAGGTGGAATCTCAGTGTTGTTTTCATCTGCAACTCTCCAGTGACCAGTGATGTGGCACATTTTTTCATATATTTACTTGCTGTTTTTACTTCTTTATATGAGAAATGTCAGTTCATTTCAGATGCCCATTTTTTAATCGGGTCTTTATATTTGTGGGGGCTATTTTGAGTTCTTTATATATTCTAGATAGTAGTCCTTTGTCTGAGGAGCAGTTGGTAAAAATTTTTTCCCACACTGTAGGTTGTCTCTTAGTTCTGTTGATGGTTTCTTTTGCAGTGCACAAGCTTTTTAACAAGATGAGATCTCAGTTGTTGATTCTTTCTGCTAGTTCCCGTTCTACTGAGGATTTGTTCATAAAATCTTTTCCTATGCCAATGTCTTCCAGAGTTCTGCCTAACTTATCTTCCAGCAAGTTTAGTGTTTCTGTTTTAATATTTAGAACTTTAATCCACTTGGATTTTAATTTAGTGCATGGTGCAAGATAAGGGTCTAGTTTTAATCTTTGGCAGGTTGAGATCCAGTTTTCCAACACCATTTATTAAAGAGGCTATCTTTCCTCCAGTGGGATGGTAAGCTCCTTTGTCAAAGATGATGTAGCTGAGTACATCTGGAGTTGTTTTTGTGTCTTATAATCTATTCCACTGATCCTCCGATGTGTTTCTTTGCCAGTACCATGCTGTTTTTATCATAGTGGCTTTCAAACAATAACAAATGTTGGCGGGGTTGTGGGGAGAAAGGAACCCATCTCCATTGTTGGTGGGAGTGCAGAATGGGCAACCTCTATAGAAATCAATATGGAGACACCTCAAAGAGCTGGGACTAGAGGTTCCATTTGACCCAGCCATCCCTCTGCTGGGTATCTTTCCAAAAGAATTAAAAGAATCATATCACAGAGATACATGCGCACCTATGTTTATAGTGGCACAGTTTGAAATAGCTAAAACTTGGAAACAGCCCATTTGCCCATCAGTTGGAAACTGGATAAAGAAACTAGATAAACTGGTTTTTCTATAAAATGGAATATTACTCAGCCATAAAGAATGAAAAATTAGATTCATTCATAGGAAAATGGATACATATTGAGGATATACTCTGAAATGAAATAAATAAGTCACACATGTGTAAACAGTGTGAATAAACTATAATAGTACATAAGATCCTAATGATAGTGTGAAATAGGAAGAAAGTGGTAAAGGTGTAGGGAAAGTGGGAAGGGTAGGGGAAAGCTAATAAATGAAAAAAATATATGAGAAAATGAAAAAATAGAAATGAAGTGTTTGTAAAGGGGGAGGAGAGAAGGGGTGAAGGGAGGGCAGGGACAAGGGGAAAAAATGAGAACTAAGACCTGTCATGTAAAGGTACAAGATCCCAATAATGAATGTAACTGTACTGTATACCTAAAATGTACCAATAAACTCAATGAGGAAAAAAATTTTTTAAAAAAAGATCTTAACATACTTTCTGTTTAAATGTATTTTCCGAATTTTTTATATCCTGATATGTTTATTAGAAAAATTTTTAAAGTATACTTTTTTTTTGTACCAGGGATCGAACTCGGGTCCTTATGCTGGCAAGGTAAGAGGTGGAACCACTGAGCTAAATCCCCAGCCCTAAAGTATACTTTAAAACACACAAACCTTTCTTGATTATGCTCACTCATAAGTCTTCACTGACACTTACCCAGTTATGGAAACCCAGTATGAGAGGAACACATGGCTTCAAAGTTGGAGCTCTGACCTTCTCGCCCATATCAGCACTCTAGATAAAATTCACCTCTTATCAGAGGATAGTGTGTATGTTGTTTAGTGGTAGAGTGCTTGCCTAGCATGGAAAGCATGACAAGTATTTGTAAGGAGATACAGAAATTAGAATCCTCAAATGCTTCCAGTGGCAATGTAAAGCAAATAGTGCAGCTGCTCTGGGAACAGTTTCAGTTCCTCAGTAAGAATTACCATATGAACCACCAATTCCACTCCCTGATATATACTCAAACGAACTGAAAACAGGTATTTAAACAAATATCTGTATTTGAAATTCACAGCTACACTACTAACAACAGTCAAACATACTGGTAAACCTAATATCCATCAACTAATGAAAGGATAAATAAAATATAGTATATCCACACAATGGATTTTTATTCCCTCATTTAAAAAGGAATTTAGTGCTAACATATAGGTGGACTTCACTGGTAACTTAAAGGTGACAGACATGAATTATCACATATTGTATGATTCTACTTACGTATATGAAATATCCAGAGCAGGTAAAGTGACAGGCACAGAAAGCAGATTAGTGGCGGCAAATAGATGGTACAAAGAGGGAATGAGAGTGACTGCTTCATGTCAATGGGTTTTGTGAGAGATGATAAAAATGGTTTGGAATTACTGTGCTAGTTACACAACCCTATAAATCTCAATTGTTACTGGATTAAACAATTTAAAATGGTTAATTTTATGGTATGTAAATTTAAGCTCAATTTTAATTGAAAACAAGAATTTACACAAAAATTTGAACACAATTATTTATAGTGATATACGTTCAGTAGCCAAAAGATGGAGATAACATAAATATTAGCCCATCAGCTGAAAAAACATTTTTAAAACTATGTACCCATACAACAGAACTTTATTTAGCCATAAAAAAGAATGAAGCAGGCTGGGTGTGGTGGCACACGCCTATAATCCTAGCACTGGGGAGGCTGAAGCAGGAGGATTGCTGTGAGTTCAAGACCAGCCTGGGCTAGTGAGTTCCAGGTCAGTCTCAACTATACAGTGAGACCCTGTCTCAAAAAACAAAAACAAAAAAGAATGAAGCACAGTCACTTGCTTAAACAGGGATAAAGCTTGAAAATATTACATCGTGTGAAAGAAGCCAAACATACAACGCCACATATTATGCAAGACAAAAGTAAGTTAGTGCTTGCCACAGAACAGGAGGGGACAATCTAGGCTATCTGGTAATAATGGAAGTGTTCTGGAATTAGATGCTAATAAGGGTTGTTCATTATTGAATATACTAGAACATTAAATTTTATATTTTTAAATGGTAAATTTTATGAAATATGAAGTATATCTCAGTAAAAAATGCTATGAAATTAATGAAAATAAAAATGAAAGCAAGACCTATCACCTGCCTATAAGGAGTATATGTTAAATAGAGAAACAAGCTTGTAGTCCTAGCTACTCAGGAGGGTATGCAACATGGTAAAATCTGGTCTCAAAACACAACAATAACAAAAAAAGAAACACAATAAAGTTAAAAGTTAAAGGGCAGAAAAGTATATACCATGCTAACATTAATCAAAAGAGGCAAAAATGACTACATTAATATCAAAGACTATAAAGCAGAATATTTGTAGAGATGAAGATTACTTTCTAATGACAAGTCAATTTACACACTATGACCAAATAGAATTCATCCCAGGGATACAGAGATGGTTCTACATATGCAAATCAATAAATATAATACACCACAACAACAGAGCCAAGGACAAAAATCACTCGATTAGATCAATAGATGCAAAAAAAGCATTTGACAAAGTGCAACACCCATTCATGATAAAAACCCTACAGAAAATTTTAATACATAGTCTTTATTGCAATCTGATAAAAGCAATTATAACAAACCAACAGCCAACATCATAGTAAATAGTAAAATACTGAAACTTTTCATTCTAAAATCAGGAACAAGACAAGAATGTCTACTATCACTACTCTTATTCAATATACTTCTGGAACCATTAGATGGAGCAAATAGGTAAGAGAAAAAAATAGAAAGGAGTAAATATAGCAAAGGAAGAAGTTAAATTATCATTATTTACTGATGACATAGTACCCTACATGGAATATTCCAAAACCTCCAACAAAAAGTCTAGATTTAATAACCAAATTCAACTATGCAGCTGGATACAAAGTCAACACTTAAAATTAACAGCATTCCTGTACACAAATAACAAACTCAACAAGAAAGAAATTAGGGAAACCACACCTTTCACAGTAGCATCCAACAAAATGAAATACTTAGGAATCAACCTAATGAAGGAAGTTAACACTTTTACATTGAAAACTACAGTACTCTAAAGAAGGAGATGAAGAAGATATCAGA